CGGCAGGGCTGCTCTCAATCCCTTCATCCCCCAGCCTGGATTGATACCGGGGGTTGCCCCGACTCAGGTGCAGGACCCTGCACTTGGCCTTGTTGAACCTCATGAGGTTCATACAGGCCCACTTCTCAAGTTTGTCCAGGTCCCTCTGGATGGCATCCCGTCCCTCTGGCATGTCAACTGCACCACTCAGCTTGGCGTCGTCTGCAAACTTGCTGGGGGTGCATGATGAAGATATTAAACAGTACTGGTCCTAATATGGACTCCTGAGGGATGTCACTTGTCACTGATCTCCATCTGGACATTGAGCCGTTGACCACTACCCTCTGGATGCGACCATCCAGCCAATTCCTTATCCACCGAATAGTCCATCCATCAAATCCATATCTCTCCGATTAGAGAGAAGGATGTTGTGGGGGACCGTGTCAAATACCACTATGCAACTCTCATTGGTTGAAGACCTGCAGTCTAGCTTTCCTGCAATCGCAAAAATTGAGCAGATATGAAAGTCAAGGGAAATATCACTACTCTTCCAGAACAGAGCAACACCCTGGCCAGTCAGATACTCTATCTCCAATAGGTACTTCTGCTATGGATTAAGTGAGAAATGAATTAATACATGTAGACTTCAAAGAAATTTCTTTCCCATCCCAGAGAGTGATTATGTTCTGAAAACAACTGAAATTCGATAGATTTAGTCATTTTTGTCCTTCGGAAAAGTTTGATGTTATGCTTAAGCAGATCAGTGCACATCCATTTGGAATTCCTTTTATTCTTACAGACTGTATCTATCTCAGGGAGTAATTATAACAGCAAGTTCCAGAGGTTATTTCTATTACATGTAAAAATCTATTTACTTTGATATCATGACATAACATTTAGATATTTAAAGGTTAAAAGCACAGTAATTATTTATAAATACAGCTCAAGTCAAGTCACGAAGGACACAAAATATATAAAAAATTCACACAAAAAAAGAAAAAAACCCACAACAGAACGCTATTAGAAAACAAGACTGACTGGAGAAAATATATTTCCAAAGGCTGCAGATAGCTTCCCCTATCACGTACATACATGCAGGATGTGCCTTTGATGTAACATCCCATTATAGCTACATTTAAGCTTACAATGGAATATTTTAGGAAAATTAGTCATACATCTAACATATCAGTTACCTCTGAATATTCTTAAGCATTCTATGCTCTGATTTCATCCATACAGCAAATGCTTTTAAACATTTTTGCCACTGCGCCTTAAATAAACTAGAAAAATAAGCCCACTTTGGTATGCAAAACTGAGCTGAGACACCAGAAAAGGAAGGACTAAGTTGTTACAGAAATTACAAATACAGACATAGCCTAATTTTTAATGAGTAATTATGAAAATCAGTGATAACTCATGTCGATATTAGCTCAAGTTAGAAAACTTCATTAATAGTTCAGCCAAAAAGAATTGTATCCTTGAACCAAAGAGTCAAACTAGTTTTTAAGCTAAATCTCTCAGTAACATTAGGTGTTACAATCATACCGTATTTTATACCAAGACAGGGTTGGATTTTTTTGGTATGTCTACATAGATATATAGTTTAGTAAACCTTTTGTACAGTATATAATCAGTTAAAATACACAGAAGCTGTGAACATGAACACCTGGTAAGAATTCTGTCACCCCACCCTGAACAAGTAAAAGTCTCTCTGCAGTGACTCAGATACACACACCTTCCTCCAGACACTTGCAAGAACAGAGAGGTCTTAGTCTTCCCTGAAGATCAATAAATCCAAGTTCTCTAAGGTAATCTTGGATAGGAAATAAAATCACTGTGTGACAGCATCAAGTCAGACAAGTATTATTAAAAAAAAGCTAAAGAGCTAAAGAGATCTATTGCCCTCAGTAAAAGAGAAAATGCATTAAAGTTTCTAGAAAATCAATTTAGTCATTCAGGAGGCTATGCATTCACAACTTCTGAAGTAAATTTAAAGGGGATCATGAGGAAATGAATGCTCAGGAAACACAGTAGTTCATATTTTTGGATCTGTTACATTTATGACAGTATTTTTATTGGAAGAATTTAGCCTAGTATTTACTGAATTTACTGAAGTTATTCTGAGCCCTATAGCTACTCTTTTTATCATAGCTATTACTAATTTATCCCACTTTATACTATTACATTTAAAGTTAAGCCAGTATTTCTGCTAGGTTCACTCACATTTTCCCAGGGCATTTGTTTATTTCTAGTTTACTGAGGTATCTTTCTTCACCTGCGCTTTTCCCCTCAGTGCAATTGCAGAATTTCTGACTCCAAATTCAAATATTTATACTGCCCCCTCCCGGAACTCAAGCTAGAGAGCACGTAACATCCAAACCTGGCAACATCTGTAGCACAAGTAACATCATAGTTCTCATTAATATGCCACCCACAAAAGACTGGGGGGGAATGCATTTTCATTTCAGTTTCGAACATGAGTTAGAATTTGAATCTGAAGTAGGTATTTAATTCCAATGCTGTTAAAGAAAAAGCAGAGAATAGGGAAGCTTTATTATGCTTCTTGTTGCATCTTCCTGTTACTACTACAGAAATACTATCAGTGTATGTTGTATGGTATAGCATCACATAAAGCTCTTCACTCATTTCATCCCACATCTGCCTTAGCAGAGGAAGAAGCAGTACAGAAGCATTTATAGAATACTTCTGTTTCACTCCTCCATATGCATTCAACCTATATAGAAGATTCTAATAATAAACCAAAATATCAAGAATATTTAAATATTTAAGGTTTTTTTTCCTCTTTTCTAGTAAAAAGAGAAAAAGAAAACTAGATCAAGCCGAAAGCCAAAGTGAACGTAAAGTCTGACTGAATTTATTGAATATATCACTAAAGCAGTAACTATGCAACTCAATTTCTACAGCAGTTTTGAAGAACACATTTTTCCCAGGGACACGATGAACATAGGCTGCAAAGCCTTCCTAAAAGGCAAAGAATTTATGGACTTGTACTCTAACAATTATACTTGAAGTATTTGCCTCCCTTCCTAAAACCTCACAGTCTAACAAGGGCAAGGGATTATTTCAATATACCAGCTACTGGCCTGTTTAAGGCGATTTGGTTTTTGGAGAAGAACATAAGCAAACTTCAATACTCTCCTCTAACAAGTTTCCCAAAAATCAGCTGCAGACAATTTCCTACTCCATCTTCTCCCTGCAAACTCCTTGTTTTTTCAGTATGGAAAAACTGAAATTTTCAAGAACCAATCTATCACCTTTCCCCCAAGCAACTTGAGCACAGCAGTTTTCATTTTGGTTCTGAACTAATGGACGGAAAATACTTCTCAAAAAAATATGTATCTTTTCAGAGCTCCAGCCTGCATACTGTCACAAATTTTACCAGGTTTTATCATGAACATTAATAGGCAACAATGAATTATCAAAATATTAGTACTACCTTTGACATTCTGCAAGTTGGTTCATTTTGCAGATGAACGTACTAATACTGAATGCCTTGGTATTAAAATAATTAAACAATGCAAAGCCAGTAAACTCACCATTTGAGGTACCCCAAAAACAACAACATTCGTATAATGGGAAAAAGAAACCTAAAAAAAAATTTGAGAACAAGTCTTAATGAAAATGGCATTTATATTTGGAGAAGTTCTCGCCATTCTTTTCCCCTAATCCCTCTAGCTGCACTCCTTTCAACAGGGATTTAGAACAAAAATAAGAAAGGAGATCCCATATCAACTTTTCATCACACAAATTTCCACATAAAGACAACTTTATACTGCTGAACAGCAAAAAGCTTCTACTGCCTGGCCAAGAATACAGCACCAATTCTAGTAGCACAGAAAGTATTAATTTAGAAGATACCTACATGATTTTGTTCATGTCTAAGTTTTTCTACAACTCCTGTATATGTTAAAATGACATATGTTTTAAGTTTGCCCCACTTTTGTTAAATGTTAGCTAGCTATAAAAACTTGCCAGGCATTCCAATGCCTGGGTTCTTCCAGTCAATGCCATGAAGGTTTCCTACCCTCCTCTCTGAACAAAGATAAAAACAGTACATTCACATTTTTCCCCAAAACTCCTGGTATCCACTTTATCATTACAAAATGCTATTCTTAAAAAAACAACAACAACAACCCCCACAACTTTGACAGGAATAGCAGGGGAGAGGCCCACATAAATATGACCCAAAAAAGCGCACCTCATTAAAGAAGCAATTGTGACTCAAATGATTGAAAATTGTAAAAAAAATTTCAGTCACATGTATGTAAATTACCTTAAAGCAACACTCAAAACCAGGTAACACATTGCACAGCTAGAAAAGAACACGTCTAATGAAATGTCAGATGAGATTGTGATCTTGCAAATTAGATGAAGAGTCTTGTTACTGACTCCACAGAATCAGCTCTCAGTGAAGCCTGACATTACAGCACCCCACACCATTCATCAGGCACAAGCATGACATAGTATGCTTCAGGAGCCTGTACTGAAAAAGGACAGCACTTCACCAAAGCACAAAACCAGCAGAGCAGTGTGTTGTGCTGCGAGTCTAGTTTCTATGGGCTCAAGTATTTTTCTCAAAGCCCAATACAGCACCTTGTGGCCAGTCAGCATTCTGGTTCTTTCAGGAAAGTATGTCCAAATTATGGAAATCTCTCAAACATCCCGGATTCATTCTTACATACTTCACCACCTACCTTCCATAAGTCTGAAATATAAAATTTGGTGTTCTGATGTACCCCATCTCTCCAGGCACGGTATCTGGAGTACCAGACTAGCCAGGGATTTAATTCATAACCAACAGCTTTGAATCCCCTTTTTGCAGCTGCTATCACCTACAAGGTAGAAAAATAAATCTTCACTTAGAAACAGAGAAAGTGTATTCATTTAAACAGGAGCACATAGTTTTATTTACAGTATAAATCAAAGGAATGCACTTTTGTAACTCACTCAGGTTTTAATCCCCAACAGATTAGTAGTATAGTGAACAAAAACTGAAACTACATTTTTACACTGTTATGACTAGTCCCATTGAAATTAATAGATATATTCAGACGAACACAATGAACCACTTAAACATTCACAGGGCAAAGCTGTAAGTTTGTAGTATGTCTATGATTTACATGAAAAGTTTAATTTAACATATTCATGACACTACCTTGGAATTAAAAGAGTACCAAAATTAACCATGGAGAGAACAGTGAAATACGCGAGCAGAAATGCTCAAAATTAGAGCACTTAACTTATTTGAAAAGTAGTGACGGGTAGGCAGTTGAAAGAACCCTGAATCAGAGCCAAAATGACCTACCAATAGAAGGAGTATGAAAGTAATCTGTTGACCTACATTTAAAAGCATATAGGTCAAAAATTTAAATGTAGGTTAAGAAATTGAAACAAACCCCACACAAATCTCACAGTATAGGTTTCATCCAATGCTAGGCTTCATGTATCATTTTAAAAGGCAAAAGGTAATTCAGATAACAAACAGATTTTCAAAGACATTCCTTTAAATTAGACCCTAAGATTTAGAATTGTTAAGCTCTATTGCAAGTGTCTTCAAACAAGATCAAAGCCCACTGATTTCTTAGAAAAAGAAAAAAAAAAAATAAGGAAAATACAAAAAGGCTCCAGTTTCTAGAATTAAGGTTTAAGTCAAAATTTAAAAGGTTACTGCCAAGTTTTAATCAGGAAAAGCCTGATGAACTATGAATTACAGAACAGGCAAGGTGAAATGAGGAAGAACACATTTCTTAACAGAACTTCTCAAACAGCTTTACCTGGACAGTGTGTTTCACACTATTAAAATAATGCATCTTCCATCATGCACACAGCATTTGCAAATATACTAAAAGAATCTGACATTTTTACCATGCTTGGAAATAAAAATATAGTCATATTTATCCACCAATTACACCTGAGTAAGTGCTAAATATTTAAAAGTGTCTGACCAGAAGCTCAACGTTTTTCAGGACAGGTACACTGAAGCAACACCAAGCATTCAAGGCACCTGGCTCTCCAAGTAGTCTTCAGTCTCCATTTAGGTGCATATATATATATACACACATTAAAAAAAAAAGTCAGAATTAAACACACAGTACCTAGTTAAGTTAAATGCCCCAGATAGGGTCAACAGCCAGAACGCTGAGCAGAGAGGGCATCAGAAACTGCAGTTCTCTCGTACCTATGTGCTTTTTTTTTTTTCCTCTGTTTCCTACTCAGGCATAATTCCTTCTAAGCCACCTTCACAGATTTGGATTTCCAAATAAAATTTTTTTAGTGTGGACAAATGGTTGACTCATTCACATGAAATATGGACAAAGGTAGCATTCAGGAAATTACTTGTTTCCATCAAAAACCCACTTAGTGTGCCATCCTGTTGCTAAAACTGACCTGAAGCAGATGGTTATGAAATGGTACACAAAACATCACAACTACAAAAAACCCCACACCATTCTCCACTATACCCTCACCACCACACTTCACAACCTGGGGTTCAGACAATGTCCTGGAAGCAGAGTATTAATTTGGATTTGGTGATTCTCACCATTCCTCTTGGTAATTATTCTAGTTTCACCACATTGATTTTGAAGCGGGGCAGCCAGCACTGCACAAAGGTGTGAAGACTACAGTTCTAACAATACCACAATTTTTATTTTTGTCATCTATCACTCATTTCTCATTCTTTTGTTCTTCTATCACCTTTATACAGTAAGCATAGAGCTGCAACTCCAAAAGCACAGTGGCGTTTAATCTCACAGCCTCACATGCTGCAGCTATAAACCTATGTGGAATCACAGCTCTTTGGCAATCACAATACCAATACTCCGATTGCATCTTTTCATGTGAACACAGTGCAATTCCCTCCAGCCAACAGGGTCGGGTTATCATCTTGTACACTACCTTGCCAAGCTGCAGGTAAGACTGGAGAAAAAAATACTGATTACACACCTAAACTGAATGTAAACCTTTCTCAGCTTTGAGCCTTTTCCTAAGACTGAAACGAAAACATTGGATGACAAAGACAAGACAATCATAAATATGAGAAAACAACAGCAGCCACGGCTAGGGCATTTGGCACTTTTTTCAGAGGTGATACAAAAGGAAGGCGATGTCCATAACTTACAATACGGCCATCCCCGCTACCAATGTCAACTAGGGAGCCACTTCTGTTTTCTAACATTTTCAGCACATTCTGGATCTGAGTGGAAGTTGCAGGAACGAAGGGCAGGCACACTTTCCTCAGAGCCGGGGTCACAAAGGGAGTGACCACAGCATAGAGTGCCACCAAGGTCCCACCGACACCAGCGGTGACTAACAGCCCCCAGCTCCTCCTTCCGGAGCCGCCCTCGCAATCTTCTTGCGGGCCTGCTGCGCGGCTCTCGTTCGCTACCGCCTTGGACATCACACCTAGAGACAGACACGGAAGAGTATTTTCCCCAATAGCTTTATGATGTGCTCACTTAAGACGAAGCAGTGCATTATATCAAAGACATAGGACATCAGGGAAAAAAACTTCTGTTCCTTTGGCCGATTCCTAGGCCCTGGGGAAATATTACTGTTATTGCTTTTGAGATGCTGAAGCGCTAGGTTAATTTTTCAGGGCAGGAAAGCAGTTGCCATTTAAGCCCGTAGTTCTTCCCACCCGGCCGGGCAGCCGCGCGCCCTCCAACAGCCCAA